CTGCCCCATGCTGCATGGGGGGCTCTGAATGAGCCTCCAAACCTCCCCCCACCACTGCCCCAGCCCCCCTCATGCATGCCCTGGCCCTTTAAGAAAAAAAAACAAACCTGAGGAAAGACCCAGGACTCTCTGCAACTGGTGTGGCCTTGGGGCTCTGGGGGCTCATGCAGAGCCCCCCACATGGTGCGGGCCAGTGGGGGCAGCGGGGATTGCCCCCGCTGGCAAGAGTGGTGAGTCTGGGGTTTTTTGGTTTGTTTGTTTGTTTTCTTAAAGGGCCAGAGCTGGCCCCAGGTGGGACACCCATGGAGGGGGCTAGGGGAGTAAAGGAAGGGTTACGGGGCTCATGAAGAGCCCCCCATGCAGTGTGGGGCAGTGGGGATCGCCCCCCGCCCGGCAGCACCTGCTGAGTCAGGGTTTTTTTTTAACAAGTGCTGGGAGCTGGGGCAGGTGGGCAGCCATTGCTTGATGCTAGAGAAGTCTTTTTTTCCTGTAGGCTTGCCTGTTATCTCAGAAATGAGAATGGGCTTGCTGCTGCTTATACAGAGAAAGCAGAAATTTTCACAAACAAAACTGAGGGAGATGAGCACTCTGTGGTGTGATGTGTAGCAGTCACTGCTGACACTATCTGACTTTGCCTCCCCAGCTTAGCTCTATGTGGTATCAGGGAAAAAACCTTAACCTATCTGCTCCCTAGTTTTTTTTTCCAGATATTGGGGGACAATTTCCTCCTTTAGGGCTATGTCCACAGATTAGAGTTATACTGGAAGAGCAAGGGCTAATTGGCTTGTGTAACTTGTCTAGACAACTCCTAGATAAAGAGTTTGTGGAATTTGGGATGGAAATCTCTCAGTGCAAATAAATGCTTTCCCGGAATGCATGGTTATGTAAACAGTGTGCAAAAACAAAACCTAAAACTCCTGTGAAAATAAAACTTGAAACAGTTATCTTACTAGAGTGCTTTGTAAGATGTTTGTTTGCTCTCTTGCTTGGTCGTTTTTGAGGTTGACCAATTAAAACTAAAGCCCACTTAACTCTTACCCAAACAAACTAGTCCTGTATTACTTACCTCATGGTTGTATTATTGACCTTGCAGATACTCTTTACCTTCTGGCTGGAAAGCATACATGGGCATAAGGATTATGAGCAAAAACAGCAATCATGTAGCTATGAGATCAATCAAAAGGATTGTTGTCCATCCACGGTACGACCAGTATATCTCAGACTATGATGTTGCCCTGTTGGAAATGGAAACGCCAGTATTCTTCAGTGAGCTGGTACAGCCCATTTGTTTACCCAGCAGCCCTAGAATATTTTTTTATGGAACTGTCTGCTATGTAACTGGCTGGGGAGCCATAAAAGAAAATAGTATGTTCATTTCCTGGATATGTTTCTTGCAAGTTTAACTTAGATTTTGGCTGTAAAGGAGTTGCATGTTCATGGGCCTAAGAAAAATAATTATGGTTTACCTAACAGATCTGTTAAAATCTAACATATTTCTTTTTAGCCACCACAACTTCAAATAATGCCTGCACCAAACCACAGAAGGTGTTCTGCAGAGATTCTGAATGCTTATATGTAGTAATGTTAGGATTCTTAATTTCTGTAACTGTTAGAAACTGAAAATTCATAGGCTATTCAAAGGGGAATTGTCCTGGATTAGCAGTAAATTGTTCAAGTTTTGATTTAGCTCAGACTGAGAAGTAGTATGTATCTGAATCAGAACTCAAGAGCTTGTGGGTCCCAGTCTCTTAAATAGTCATTCGAAATGTACTATGGCCACAGGTCTCACATTTGATCAGATGTTTTTTACTGTACTCATTTTGGCTTTCTGGAGATGAGCTTTATCTAGTAGTTAACCCCAAACTTCTGGATCTTAGGTACTTAATAATAAATTGCAAATAGATATTTAAAAATGTAATTTCCTAAACTGTCAATTAAAACAATAACTGATTAAATTAAAATGTCTCTTTAAATAGAATTAAATAGGTCACATGCACTCCCATAATGCTACAAAAAAAATTATAGAAAAATGTCTAAAGACCAAGTTTAAACATGACAGTATGTGACACTAATGGTAAACATTTAATGGCACCAAATCTGGCTCTTTCTATAGAATCATAGAATTGATGAGTGGAAAGGGACCTAGACAGATCATCTAGTCTGACCCCCTGCCATGGGCAGGAAGGAGCACTGGGGGTGGCAGGGGTCATAAGACCCCAGCCAGGTGCCTATCCAGTCTCCTCTTGAAGATCTCCAGGGAAGCTGAGCACACCACCTCTCTGGGAAGCCTATTCGAGGCTCTGGCCACCCTTACCGTGAAGTAGTTCTTCCTAATATCTAACCTAAACCTATCCTCCCTCAGCCTGTGGCCATTGTTCCTGGTGACTCCAAGCGGGGGGCCTGGTGAACAGACTTCCCCAAGTCCCTGCTGCTGGCCCCTGATAAGGTTGTAGGCAGCCACAAGATCCCCCCTCAGTCTCCTCTTGCAGAGACTGAAGAGATTCAGGTCC